GTTCCTTAAACACTTTCTTTTGTTCAACATGGGGCATATGGTTCTGCCGGTACTGATTTATTCTAGTCTCGTACCGCCTTATCTTTTCTGACTTTCCTTTCAGCCGCTGCTCTATTTTCTCAATGACTACCCTTATCCCTTTTGCTTTTATGCTGTTCATTCTCTCAACACTACTGCTGTACTTTCTGGTAAATGTTTTCCTGGTCACATCATTTCTCATGAACCTTACCAATACGTTCAAGTCATTCCTTATTGCTGTAATATCTCTTTCATATTCTTGTCTTTTACAAGGGTTATTATTGTCATCATCTTTTCAGATTTTAGCGACTCCTTATCATTTTTCATTCTCTTTCCCGTACATTTTATTCATGTACTATATTTAAAGAATGCACGAATAACAGATTCCTGCCCACTTCATTTAGATACCTACCCTATTCAGCTAGAACACTACTACCCCAACCAACTTTTGTTTTCAGTCCACCTCTACCCTATTAAAAAACAGTTGGCAGATGATCGGGGTTTTAAGTATTCACATCGGGAAAGAACGAAGAAAACTAAAAAAAGAACTTATAAGCTGTTCGTTGTTTTCAATGAAATTGTTGTCACGAGTGTAGAGGATATTCAGATGTAGCTTAGCTAGTAAGGCAAATATTGACAAGACACCACTTGAAGCAAGGAAATAGAGTTGTATGTCAGTGTCGTCAATTTTGGGACGAGAAACATACAGCGGATTAATTATTGGTTTGTTTAAAGTGGGCCCAGTTAATTTTAATTGTGGGCTAGGCTTTGATAGGTTTTGCTCGCAAATTGGCATAATATGGTACTAGCAGTGTTCGTATATCTCTCAAATTATGCTAGTTATTACTATAGTTCTTTTAAATTGCGCTTTTCATCTAAAAAATGCAGAGTAAAGCTTCTGCTGTGTTCAAGTAAATGGCAAACACGTTCACCCCATTTACAGCTAGAAACTTTAAGAGTAAATAGTTCATTTTCTGACAACTATAAAATCTCAAACAGTTAACAACCAGCACGCGGATGCTATATTGGCTCACTGAACTGGTTATGCGAGTGCATGAGTTCTCTGGAAACAGTCCTAGGTCACTTCCTGTGGGACCTAGGTCCCATGAATGTGGCAATAAAGAGCCAAGAAAGTTAATTTCGTCACTTAATTTTCCCTGTAATACTGAGCTCGGGCCAAAAAAAAAACGGTTGCATGATCAGTAAATGACAATTTTGTATTTCAAAAGTGCAAATTAAGCTAGCAGTGCTTTTTTGGGAGAATAGGCGAAAATTATGCTCTTGATGACAAATTATGCCAACAATTATGGCAGCACAATATTTCAAAGCCTAATAGCAGCTTCACTTACGAAACGTGTGCCTTGAGAAGCCGGAGTTATGCAGCTTTCTTGAATTGCGCTAAGATATTTACTAATGCTTTGTAGTAAACTTCTTATTTTAAGAATGCCAATTTTAAGGACAGGTTGATGTACATTATTTTTATTTGTGGTCTTTATTTCACAGACTAACAATTTTGCCCGTTTTTTTTTGAAAACGTTGTTTATAATAGCCTAATTAATTTTATCGGGAAAAATAATATTTTATTTTCACATCAGTATGACTTTAGATCCTAACATTCTACCAGTTTAGCTCTCATCCACCTTATTAATGAAATCACCTGATCTATAGATAACAAGGAGTACTGTGCTGGCATTTTTTTAGACTTGTCTAAAGCTTTTGCTACAGTTAACCATGCAAATTTAATCGAGAAGCTTGAGCATTGTGGTATAAGAGGTCTCGCTCTTAAATGGATGTGTAGTTACCTTACAGATCACAAACAGTATGTTGAATGTAATAGCGTGGCCTCTGAGTATCAGACAGTTAAATGTGGTGTTCCACAGGGTTTTATCCTAGGCCATTTACTCTTCCTTCTAAATGTATTAATGGAATTCATCTTTCATCAAGGTTACTTAAGATTATACTATTTGCTCATGACACCGACTTCTTTTTCTCAAATGCCGATCTCAAAGTTAACATAAAGAAAACTATGTTTTTTTTAAGGTGCGCCGAAGACAATTACCATTTGTGCCTTTCAATATAAGAAAAAACAACGAAACTTTTGAATATACATAAATTTCTGGGTATTTATGTAGATGAGAATTTAAATTGGAAAGAACATGTTAACTTAATTGCCAATAGGGTCTTTAAATCTATCGGCATTATATCAAAGGCCAGATTCTACCTTTCTATGCCGTCGTTGCGTACCCTATATTTTGCTCTTGTCTATCCTTACCTGCAATATGCAACCACTGTTTGGGGCTCTACGTATAAAAATACCTTAAATAGACCTCTTGTGTTGTAGAAACGTATCAGAAGAGTAAACACTAAATCCTGTTTTGATGCCCCCAGTGCTCCATTATTCTATAAGCATAATTTTCTTAATATAACTAATATCTATACGCTACAGATTAGCTTGCTCATGTTCTCCTTCAAAAACAAGTTACTTTCAGTAAGCTTCCATGATATGTTCTTGTCTAGTTTCAACTTCATTTTTATAACACAAGAAATGCCATGAATTACAGATCTCAGTTTTCTAGAGCCATGTTAGGAAATTTACTGTTGCAAGGTTAAACGTTTTGGAATACCCTTCCTGTTGAACTTAAAAACGAATCTTCGAAAAATGTCTTTAGTTCAACAAGCTAATCTGTCCTAAATTAATTTCATATTTTTGATTAATAACTGTTTGAATTTATTTATTCTTTTTCTCTTTTTTATATTATTGTAATATAGCCTAGTTCTTTTCTCTGCTTAATTTGAATTATTAAAATTAATTATTAGTCTACAACATTTTTTATTAGAATCAATAATATAAAATTACAGACCCTAAACTCATTTAAAATTGTTGATTGGTTAGTTTTAAACAAATTCTACGAGTCCTCAGCTTCTACGTTCGTAGGATTTAGATCAACTTTCGCGCCTTAGAAGGGGTGGAAATGATCAAGTTCAAGTTGGCGGCAAATCTTTGAAAAGCTTCGAACAGTAGCAGTGAAAATTCTGAGGAAAGAAATTTCTTACTATTGCGTTGTCATTGAAGGATCTCGAACTAGGACTAAAAGGTCCTACAGAAAGATTTCCTTCCATTAAGCTGCAATCGGTAGCTGGTTGAGAATATGCTTGTTTGAGTCAAAAGACCGCATAGTTTTAAATACGAAACCAAGCTTTCCGCGGTGTAGGCAAAATGACACTGATCTATTTAGTACCAGATTGTAAGTGTTTCATGGTTAAGTAAACACTCTGCTTAGCTACGACTGCAAGACCGGTTTCGGAACCAAAATGTTAGATCCTTCGTCAGTTGCTTATAGGTATAGCTGTTAACAAAAGCTCACCAAGAGAGCTAGTGCCGTAAACTAAAACTTGACTCGGTTGATTTCGCGTAGCATACAGAATCCAGCCAGTGATTGGTTCTTTAGACAGGAAGCTGATTGGGTGATTTCTATGAACTTTGTTATGTGAGGGCATCTTGATCCTGTTTCAGCGTTAGGGTCATGAGCTAGTGATCCAACGTATAAGATTTCCCGAAAATTTTGCCTAAAACGCTTATTTGTCCCAAAATTAGAAGCGGAAAATCACTCGGTTCGTTGTGAGTAATAAAAAAACGCTCTGTCTGTTGGGAGTGATGTTTTGCAAAATCCTTCACCGACAGAACTAGCATGTATAATTTCGAGGTGTGAAAATTACTCTGTTATTGTTGAGAGTGAAAAAAAATCACTCAGCTGAAAGGAGTGTTATTATATAGATAATTTCGAAAATGTGTAGTAGAAAGTTCATCAGAAAATGACGTTGGATAAAAATCCGTTCTCTCATTGAAACGTACAGATGCCATCTAAAATAGAGCTAACAATTACGCGGGCAAGTAGTGAATTAACTCCGTAGAGTGTTACAATCAAAGTTATAAACAAAGTCTACAAGTCCTCAGCTTCTACTTTCGCAGGATCTAGATCAACTTTTGCGGCTTGGGAGGGGTGGAAATGATACGCAGTATAAAGTTTATTGGCTCAGTTACGCTGTAATCAAAATGATATGCTTGACTTCTCAAGGAAATTAAGGCATGGGTGTTTTTTCAATTTGCCCCCAAAAAGTCGAGGGGTGGTCTATATTTTGAGGATTTAGGCCTATAGCGACAAAACTTGAGTAAAATAATGAATCTCAAAAGTTTATACGATTCCGAGTAAAAGAATATGTAAATTAGGTCACGAGACCTTTAACGGCCATTTTGCGCGGAAAAAACTCACATTAGAAATAGCACCATTTTATAACAGCAGTCAATCAAAGAAATTGCAACCAAACATGTCCCTAGATGAACGACTAGACATCTGTGCCCTGGATTTGTTAAATAATTTATTAAATGTGTAAATAAACGAAATTTTGTACTGGTACCCTGGCCTCTTATCAAACGATTTTTGAATTTCGGTTCTGTCTAAAAGATTAACTTAAAAGGCCCGGACATAGACATGATGTACCCACTAGTCTCATAACTATGACGATAACTGCAACTTCCAGAAAGTAATTAAAAGTGGTGCCATATTGCCAAATAGATTTTTGTGCTAAAAATAGCCTTAATAGGCCACGTGACAATTAGTGACTCCAATCACCATTCAAAGTTGTTAAACTTATACCCAGGAAGTCTGTCCTTAAGTTATTTTGTGCTATATTGAAAGCTTAAGAATTTAGACCACCTCCCTGTTTTTGAGGAATTAAATAGAAGACCCATGCCTTAATTTTCTTGAGTACAGGTCGAGCGCGGTTTTGTATCAAAAGGTGATCATACCTCTTAACCTTGTTACCTATATGTGACTTATTCTTGTCATTTATGTACTTAACTTTGAATTGTTTGTAAATGGTAGCCTGAATAACTGTAACTGAGTCGTTTTCTAAGCATGCGATGTTTTAAAAAAGAAAACACAGCAACAAAGGAAAAAATGGTCCGCGGAAAAGCTATTTAACCTGATTTCAACAATTTATGCAAGCATCTCCAACAGATTACAGGTTGGCTTAAGAATTGTTCATAACAATTGTTTCGATTTCTTTTGTTTCACAGGTACTGATAGAGTTTCATTTGCAGGATTTCGCGCCTGTAAATGTTTATATAATCACTACCGATTGAATTTGTTTGGGGTTTGCACACCATGCGAAACAGTCGGACTAAAATGTCAGGATGAGTTTGCGAATCTTTCAGTTGGCTTTTGGTGGCACTGGAAAGATAAGACACACTTAGGACTGTACAGAAACTTCAGTAAAAGCGTAAAGGATTTCTTCTTTACTCCTGAATTACACAACGGAAAAGACTCCGGCATTGAATACCCGTACACTGTTCCTCAACCGCACAGATGTCCCATGGCAGATGTTTGTAAGGGAGGTTTGGATTCTTCATGTGAGGCTGGTTATAAAGGGCCATTATGTTCAGTTTGTAGTGATGGATATTATAAACAACTGAAGAAATGTAAGCTGTGCCCAACAAAAAAATGGATGATCGGACAGTGTGCAATTATTGGGGCATTAGTTATGTTACTGGTTATACTTGTGGTGTGGAGAAGCAAGAAAAAGTGCAAAAAGAACGCTGGACGATCTTTCCTTGACGAGGTCCTCGGAAGGATTAAAGTTATTATTGCCTTTTATCAGGTGACGTTTGGTATCATGGAGGCGTTTTCATACATAAAATGGCCTGAAAGTCTTAATGTTATTGGAGAGTTTTCCCAGATAATGCAGATAAACATCCTTCAGATAGCTCCCCCCCACTGCATCCTTCCTGGCTTGGGAGTCGACGCATTGGGAAGTTTGCTTGCAACTATGGGGTTGAACATTGCAGCAGTCATCATCGCCTTTACTGGCCTTGCCCTTGCCTCCTGGACATCGACACGACATATGTTGAATGAAGAGCAAAAAATGAAGAAAAAAGAACGTGTTAAAGCGGTCGTAAAGAGAAGTCTGTTTTTCTTTCTTTACGTGACCTATCTGAACACTTGCCTAAAAACTGTTCAAGTCTTGCCTCTTACCTGCCACAAAATCTGCGTTGACCAAAACGATGAAAGCTGCGTGGAGTACCTAAAGGCCGACTACCGCATTGACTGCAAAGGAGAGAGGTACAAACGATTAGTCATCGTGGGATACTGTTCCATTGTGTATGTGATTTTTCTGCCTGCTGCCGCTTTCATAGCAATTTGGAAACGACAGAGAGCGGCGAGGGAAGCTGAGGACGAAGCAACAGACGGCACAAATGATTTTAAAGGCCGAGGCACCATGGAAACGGGATTGCGATTCTTACACGAAAGCTACACCTCTCGTTGTTGGTATTGGGAACTGGTAGAGACATTTCGAAAGGTTATTTTGACATCTGGATTGATCCTTTTGGATAGCGAGAGCAGAGGTTACATTGGGCTAGCATTGCTTTCGTCAGGATTCTATGGGATATATTTCGCCCTAAAAAGGCCAATAAATGATCCATTCGAAAACAAGCTTATGCTGTCTTCACTTGCCGTTACCTTCGTAAACCTTGCAGTAGGAGCCGTGAGCACAATTCCGAGTGAGGGTTTTGGCACATCATTCGACCCAATAGTGGATAATCTGTTGTTCAATGGCTTGGTCATTGTTGCCAACTGCTTGGTTATTGGACTCCTTGTCGGTAAGTTAACACTATCATGCATTCTATTGGTCTGTCACAAATCCTCTTACATTTTACTGGCGGGCTCATACCTTAACTGGGGCACAATGATTTGCTTGGTGAAAGTTCTTGCAATGAAAGATACATAGATTACTTCATAATTAAATGAGTGCTCACGATTCTTAATCAAGAGTCAGTGTACAGCGAACCATAACAAGAAAGTTATTTGTTTATTAAATGAGTAAGAAGATATAATGAAAGTTGTTTTCATTTCTTTGACTTTCAATCAAAACCAAATCAAAGAGGACGGAACGGTCTTCTTAGATCAGGCCTCTACGTTCTACGATTTACTGGCAAGTGGGGGGGATAACTAGCTTGTTCAATACGAAGTTACAGGAGATTGCTATTTTAATGTTTAAAATCAAGAATAAATTATTACCGACAAATAGAATGGGACTCTTTCTTCGTTCACGGGAAGAATATCATACACCAAGAGAAAGAACTTTTACGTACGGAAAACACTGACTTAGGTCTTATGGTGGAAGTTATATTAAGTATGAGCGATAGAAATGAGATATCCCGAAAGAAAATCAAAGAAAGTATGAGGAAAAAGGACTTGGAAGGCGGAGGGTGGGCTTAAATCAAGGGACAACATATAAGGGAAACCGTCATCTCTCAAGCGAGCACCTGCGGTCATTTTTATCCCGCCAAGATTCTTTAAGTCGTATTTTCGCTAATTATTACTATTGGTGTGGGGTCAAATCTGACCCCACGTTGATTTTTTGATAACATTTCACAAATCACTTTAAGAAAAAAAAATCTGGATAAAACACATGGAACTCATCGCTTTAGAGACGAGAAGAAAACTGGGACAGGTTAACTTTCGCAAAGACTTCTGGGACTGTTACCACACAGAGAAAAAAAATTGGCCAATAGCTGACTGGAGCCAAGAAAAAATTGCGGAAAACATTTCTCCTCCAGTTCCCTTCTCCTTTCTAAAGTGGTGAAAAAAAGATAACCTGACTTTACATAAACCCTGTTTGGCTTCTTGAGATAACCAGGAAGGTGGTTACCAAGCCTTTAAGCTACACTTACTGTCTTGAGCGCTGGGCCGGTGTTTCGGCTTGTTACAAGACTACTAAAAAGCGGTATTCTTACAGAAAAAAAGGTTCAAAAACAGGTCTTCATGTCTTTCCTCTGTTGAAGCTATAAAGGCCACGTTGTAATGTGAAAGAGTTTGTAATTTGTTTCAGTGCAGTATATGGCGTATATTTACCACTACGTAAAAGAATGGCGCAAGAATCCAAAGTGCTCATTATCCTGCTGTCTGGCCTTGCTATTGCCCCTTAATCAACTACAAGGAGAAATACGTGGATTAACTGAGAGGAACTTACTGAGTCAGCAGCTACAAACTGGTAGAATGGAGATGCCATCGATTGTTAGCACTTTAAAGGACAGTGGGGCAGTTGATATTACTCTTGAAGAGCACAATGCAGAACGCGAACAAGAAGAAGAAACAGAAAACGAGATAAGTATGATTGAAAAGGGCGTTCGTACACTCGCTAAAGTAAGTGTTCATGAGCTTCCAAGGGGAACTTATGCTCTTGAAGAGCACAATGCAGAACGCGAACAAGAAGAAGAAACAGAAAACGAGATAAGTATGATTGAAAAGGGCGTTCGTACACTCGCTAAAGTAAGTGTTCATGAGCTTCCAAGGGGAACTTATGCTCTTGAGGAGCTCAATGCAGAACGCGAACAAGAAGAAGAAACCGAAAACGAGGTAAGTATGATTGAACAGGGCCTTCTTACACTCCCTAAAGTCAGTGTTCATGAGCCTCCAATGGTAATTTATGAAACCGCAGTCTAATTAGGGCCAGTTATTTAACGGAGTATAGCTAGTGTTTAACAAAACCGCGTTCTCAGCCATTTTCAGTTTGCCCAACGCTTTTATCCTAACACTATTTATCGTGAAAAGTTTCCTGAAAGGATAAGGTGTACACTGGAAAAGCACTTACTTTCTCAGTTAAAATGACCCACTATGGAAGAGGTCTGGAGGTCCAAATATTTGCTAAACCGAGGCCTAAGTTAGATTCCGTTTAAATAACCGACCCTAAGTATCTAAACGGTCTGAGGGCTCGAAGATGACCTTCCACTAAGTCGTCTTTCTCCTCGAAAAAGGATAAAAAGAAATTATCATTAGCATTAGGTAAAATAAGGTATAAATGCCTAATTAGCATTAGGTAAAGTAAGGTATAGAAGGATGCATTAGAATTTGAAATCATTCTCTCTTTTGAGCCGGTGAATGTTATGAGTAGCGATGTTTCCTCTTTCCAACAGTAACATTGGTTCTAGGTTACAACTTTTCCTAGTTTTCGAATGCAAATAGCATAAAGGAAAGTCACATATAGCTAAATGTACGAGATGCTTAATAGAATTAATTTATTGACAATGATAAGGGGCTTTAATTAACCTTAATTTAACCTATACAATCGAACCTTCCGTAAGTGACCCTCAAAAATGCGAAGAATAAGTGGTCGCTTATAGGATGTGGTCAGTTATGAGAGTCAAACTGCAGAGTCCTCTCTTAAGAGGACTGAGAAGCTCGGATATCTAATTTTTTTGACAGAATTTATTGCATATTATTTCAGGTTACAGTATATGTAAATCCATGTGTTTTTTAGTTTGTTTTTTTTTCTAAAAGTTCTTCTCATATTCTTGGTAACGTAGAGCATACAGGGAGTACAAAGATAAGACCATTGTATCAGGTAGCAGTCACTTAAAAAGGTTAATTCTAAAACGTGATTGCGGTCGCTTACGAAAGAATCCAACTTAAAGGATTTGGATGGGAAAATGTTGGTGTTTTGGATAAGTAGTCGCCACGACGGAATAAAGCTCAGAGAATTAATCCCCCATATAGGCCCTCTACCCATCGTAATCCCTCTAAAGTTATTTTTAGAACGTATCGGTTGTCCCGCGGATAATGTTTCCTCGCGCGTTGCGTGGAAGCTTCGAGGAGGAGCTGAGTGAAAGTGCAAAAGCGTGTCGGGAGTGCGGGAGTTGCGAAGAATGCGAAACAAGAGAGAATAAAGAGGGTCTATCCTCTCTTAATGCGAAATGAGAATCGTTTTTGAGAGTTTATTTTTTTTTAATTATTTGAGCATATATCAATCGGTATTGGCATCGACAAATAGAAAATTGTCAGAAGATTCACAAAGGAAATGAAGTTTGAAATAAAGTGTTGACAGGCTAAACACGACCCATAAGCCCGGGAGTGTGAAACATGACCGCCTTAGAGTATGCTTCAAAACAAAAACGGTGTTCCTTTTTTCTCTCTTTAGCACGTAGGTTATGAGCTGTTAAGCAGCGAAAGGAGTATTTTAATTTTTTACCGAGCAAACCTCAATTTGGCCGCTCTGATGCGTCTCCGTAAGGAAGACTTAAACCAATCAAGAATCTTTCCTCGTATGCCGACTTGAGTATGTAGTCGTTTCAATAATACTTTATAATTAACAGTGTCAAAGGCTGCACTTAAGTCAGGTAGAAGCAGTAGTGTGACCTGTTACAAGTTCATCACCAGCAGAATGTTCTGTTTTAGGGGATCGGGAAGATCTGTAACCATTCAGGACATTTAACTGTTTTTTCAAATTCTATACTGCAAACCTAATCTGCAAAAGGCAAATTACACCCTCCACATTGAGAGGTCGTGAGGCATTTAGCAATTACTTTGTGGTTTGCGGTGCGGTTTACACTTGATTAATTTGATCTTAGATGCAGTTGTTAAGCACTAATTTTCTTTGACCTCTTTAAAGTCTTAAGCTTGTTCTTGCAGCCAAATAATCTTTTAGTAGAGAGTTTAGTTTCTGTGGTTTCTCCATAGTACATGTAACTGAATAGCCGCATGCGCCGGGTGTAACTTTTGGTCCGTAAAGGTGATGATAAGTTCCGGCTATGTTCTAACGCTAGACGCTGGACGCTCTTACTGTTTGCAGAATGTTGAATTCTCAAGGTAAATTATGTTTAGATCCGAATTGTTGTCTAAACCGAAGCTACACCAAGAACATTCTTCAGGCACTGATAAAATCCATTTTGTTTTTCTTGATATAAGTGAGTCCTTAGACTGGAGCACGATGTCCAGTTACTGTAGTTCTTTCGTTACAAATTATTTGAAGCTTTACAGTCTATGCCGATTGTACTTTTTCTTTTATAAGTCTCAAAGCACCTGCCACACTCACTTCCTTGAAGTTTCATTCGTCCACAAACGTTTTCCTATGACTGAAGTATTTTAACCTAAATTACGTCTTCCGCCAACTTAACAAGTTGATTCGCGAACGTTGCGAAGTATTGCGTGGGACTTCGCCCACCTGTCAGCGTTGGTTAAATTAAGGACATATGATTGGTTATCACTCAACCCTCTTGGGAACAACAGATCGCAGAGAAGATCTAAAAGTATCTTTTGAGGGACTACGATGAGTATAGGGCCTATATGGGGGATTAATTCTCAGAGCTTTATCCTCTCTTGTGGTCGCACATGCAGGTTAGGCTGTACTATTAGTTTTTGATCAGTTGAAAAGAAATCAGGTGGTTTTAAGCTTAGTGGCAGGATAAGTGTAACTGAGATACATAAGATTTGAGACTTACAGACTCGTGTAGTCTTGTTCTATAGAACGTGCCCAGCACTCGAAACACCTGAAACACTAGTCTTATTAATTTGAGAGGACCAATAACTTTAGGTTCGCCGGTACACTAGGGCCATTTATACGAGGAAAAATAAGACAGGTCTTAAATAAGACGCGAACTGTACCATTTATACTAGCATGTCTTATCTAAGACGAGAACAGCTCGTTTAAATGGTTCACGTCTTATTTCTGTTCTGGACTCGTTTTCATGTGAATGTTGCCCGTAGCAAAGGCAATCCAACGTGGCGCGCCAAAACTTGACGCATGCGTAGTATGCGTTCGCGTCTTATGTAAGACGCGAAGGTCATTTATACGAAGTTTTTCTCGTCTTAGCTAAGACGCGTCTTATCTAAGAACAGGTGTTAAGGGCTGTTCTAAAATAAGACGCGTCTTAGCTAAGCCGCGTCTTATTTTAGACGAAATGTGCCGTTTATACGGAAAGTTCGCGTCTTATTTAAGACGCGTCCTATGTAAGACGCGTCTTATTTTTCGTCGTATAAATGGCCCTACTGTCGCAATGACAATAATTGCTGTCGGTCTCAAACTAAGCGTGATATTTCATCATAATTTTCTGGAATCTCTCAGATAGAGTAGATATCGATCCAACCGCTATTCTATTTTTATTCCTATCATAACTATAACAAAATTTTCAAATCTGATTGGCTATCAACTGCCCTGATTTCAGCCTTAATTGGACAGTTTATTAGGACAGTACGCGTAAAAAACGCGCCATCACGCGCACCCTTAAATGGCCTTTTTTTTTTCACTGCTAGCAAAACAAAACTTCGAATTTCTCGTGTTTTGATTTAAAAAATAGCCTATTATATCACAAAGTTTGTTAAAGTTATGATTAATTGGTAACAGAACTTCTTGTCGACCAATTCGGTCTATAATCATACTCGTGATTAAACAAGCCGGACTCCCGCTACGCGGGCGTCCGATTTTGTTAATCACTCGTATGATTACAGACCGAATTGGTCGACAAGAAGTTCTGTTACCATTACTTATTTCTTTGCCTTTTCAAAACGTAAAACAGAAACGAACACTCGGAGGAAGAGAAAGGAAATACTGAAATACGTCAAAAGACGTATTTATAATCAGAAACTATCAGTTGTTTCATTATACATACTAATCAACACCCGTTGTAGGATTGTAGCCTTGAGTGCTGTAGTTAAATTTATGATTGTGGACGTTTTTAATAACGAAGAACTTCCAAACAATCGTGTTTGCCCTTAAACACAGTTTAGTTCATAAGACGGGCGAAGCAAATGCTACTACTCTTGTGCTTTTTCCCACTAAATAATTCAGTATTACTTCCTGGGAAAGATTTGCACAGGGAAAGAAAACATATGCTTGACAAATTTTAACATAATTATACCTGCAACAAAGTCGTTAAGTTCTTTCTGATAGAATTTTTTCTAGAGGCAGACATGATCGCCTAGCATTATTAGCATGTAACCTCGTTTAACTAACTAATGTAAGATAAGAACATCACTGGACTTGTATTACATGTTAAATACCCTTACAGCACATTAAGTATAAACAACACTTTTAATCTGTAATAATCCATATCTCATTGCAAAAATTCAAGTGCTAAGCTAGTATGAGATACAGTTTATTATTTTATGGAAACATTTATCAAGTTTTGCATTGGTCTAGGAAAACCAACGATATTGTGGTACTGTTTGAATTTGTTCATCTTTTCGGTCTCATTTTGCTGGCTCGTGAGATCCTCGGGTCTCAGAGCAAAACGAAGCAAAAATAATGCAAAGCAGATCCACCCTAGTGAATACCTTTTAGCCTCCGCCACCAGTGCCACAGTAGACCACAGTAAACTTGGTTTGACTTGAGCTATTTTGCTCTTACATTTTAGCTTTGCAGTTTTTCAGTCTGATACTAGAAACAAAACAAAAAAAGAATGGTTCGGTCAAGTAACGTCATTTATATAAGAAGAACTGCATAATTTATTCTTGTAGTGTTGTATACAATTTAATAATTTAATAATTTTTATGCTTGTAGTTAAATGACGTGCAAATCTCAGGCAATCATGTTTGGCAAGGAAGCGCAGTTCAGTTTTTAAAGAGAAAAATACAAGTTTACCAGTCAAGTTTACGTCCCATGGCTACCTCAAAACCCGAGACCAAAATATAAAAAAGCGGCTCGTCTATTTTTGAAAAGAAGCAAATAAAGT